ACTGAAATCACAGCCATCTGGGTTTCTGTCAGCACTTCCCCGAGTGAAGCAGTCATGATTAAAAAAAAAAAACCAAAAAAACTTAAAGCCACATCTAGGTCCTCTGTTTCCTTGGCAAAAACCAGCACTGGCAAGCAAGAGACTCCTAGCGTACTCTTTTGACCTCACTGACTCCTGAATTCTTTGCTGTCCCTGAAGAATGAAGAGTGCCTTTCTCATAACCAGATGGTTAAGTTCTGCACTGGTTGGGCTGCATAACTCTCAAACATGCAAGCAACTATGTCACTGACCAGAAAACAGGCTTGTCTATTCTGCTTCTATCTGATGATTCTGAGATATAGCAACACTGACTGTTATTTTGTTTGGTGTAACTAGAAAATGCTTAGAAAGACTGCAATCTTCAGGGACCTTAGACTGTAACTCCCAGAGAGGCCCAGACAGGGAATAAGGTCCCAAATGTTCAGTTCAGCCACAGTAGCAGTACTCTTATCTATACAGAATAGAAAAAAACCTTTAGGCACATAATTCATTTTCGTTAGAAAATTAAAGGATTGATTGCTTTTTAGGCACACAGATGAGCGAACAGATTTATTTTTTTTTTTAATTCTTCTATTAAAATTAGACATCTATGTTCTTTCAACATACCCTTTAGGCACCTAGCCAATTTTTCAGATTTTTCCCTCACTGCAATATTTGTACTTTGTTGTATTAAATTTCACCTCCTTCCCACTGTTCTGTCCTCAAGGTTATCTAATTTTTCCTGTGTGACGTCCTAGTTCTCTTCTTTATCGACAGTTCCATATCAGATATCATTAGTTCAATCCTACTTCTCATGCCAAAATCATTAAAAGAAAATACTAAGATGCACTCCAAGGCTGATTCATGAAAAATGCTTCTAGTAGTTCCCTTCAAACCATTACACCTTTTTTTTTCAACATTGCCCATTTTCATCTTCACTTTAAACAGCTCCCTACCTATCTTAAAGTTGGCACCTCTGTCTTATTAATGAGCACTTTCCTACGGGCATCATTTCAGATGCTTTACTCATAAATTGGTCTATCTCAGTGGGATAATTCCCATTTAACTTCAGATGTCTTTAGGGTGGTCATCTACAGCTAAGCTAGTCACCCCTAGCTAACTTTACAGTGAATGGAGAGAAAAAAGCACTTGTAGGTGTGATTCATCTGACTTATTTTAGACATTTACTTTAGGATGGGATGGATCGTACCCTAAAAGGAACTATTTTTTGGCATCGCTAACAAGGGAGCACGGGGTGACTACTATAGAGATAGATGTCTCCAGAGCAAACATGTGCATTTAGTCAGATGAATCCCATCATTTGTTACCAAGCAAATTAGATCTTTCATATATCTCTGCTGTATAAAATATGTTTTCCAAAACACAAATTCAGTTATTACAACATAAAATTTGCTTGGCAAAAAACCAAAAAAAGAATAAATTATTCTTTCCATCATAATTTTATCTTGCATCCAGTTGATGTTACATTAGTAGGTCTGTTGTTGCTCAATACTTTTTTTCACCTGGAATAAATTAACTTCATGTGTTTTCCTTCTATCTGCAAAGCATTTATTTCCATTTTCTGTGCATTCATTCTGATCTTTACAGGAGAGATGGGAAGGGACTCTTTAAGAGGGAGTGTAGTGATAGGATGAGGGATAAGTGTTTTAAACTGAAAGAGGGGAGATTTAGATTAGATATTAGGAAGAAATTCTTTACTGTGAGGGTGGTGAGACACTGGAACAGGTTGCCCAGGGAAGCTGTGGATGCCCCATACCTGGAAGTGTTCAGGCCAGGCTGGATGGGGCTTTGAGCAACCTGCTCTAGTGGGAGGTGTGGAACTAGATGATCTTTAAGGTTCCTTCCAACCTAAACCATTCTATGATACTGTGATTCTATGATTTATTATTATATGTATATTAATACATAATTATATACTATATAATATTGATCTTCTTGTCTTTATATTTATGTTTTACATTTTCTAGTAATGTGCTGGCTATTCTAAAAGTTATGCCCAACCAATGCCAGAAGTCTGGAACAAAAGAGATTCATTACTAAATCTTTCATGTATAACTCCTCAGTTGTGTGTCTTTAGAGTCAAAATTCAAATAACTACTAAAGGTAATAAATGCAGTTAAGCATTCATTTTACAGTCAGTGAATCACAACAGTTATCAAAATCCATAAACATGAAAGGGGGAGAATGTAAAATTACTCTATAACACATGACCCAAGAGCAGTAAGCAACCTCCACTACCCAACTCCTCTTTAATGTGAAGCCTCTTTGCAAACAGATGCACTAGAAAATGATCTCTCTGATGCTTACTAAATTAATTTCAAATTGACTTTATTAATACCAAATAGGTATCCTTATTAACAGCACACATTATGAATGTGTAAATATCACTAGATTGCCATATTTATCAGAAATAATAAACTGCAAACATTTAGCATAACATTAAAATCATTAATAGACTATAGTTGGGTGGGTTTTTTCATACTCTGAACAGTCGAGAAGCATGCATAATGTAATAGCATATTTTGCAGCTGGTAACAGAAGGCCAGATTGCAAGAGATATTTTAAATGTGTTTTTATTAACAAGAGAAAAATGTCTTTCAACTGATCTGAAGCAATTTCTGAGAGAAAAGCTGAAGAGGCTATCATTATAAAATGTAATGGTAAATGGAGAATCCTGGCAGAGAATGTCCTAGGAAACTATTTTCCTCTGTATGTGATCCATATTTACTAAAGGCCTGATCCAAAGCTCATTTGAAAGTCAGCTGAAAAGCTCCTGCTGAAGTCAATGGATTTTGGACCAGTGTTGGAGTGCAAGTAGCTGAAATTATCCACAGGGTTTTGGACTCGAGAGGGAAAGTGAATGATGTTCAAGATCATGTATGTAACTGGTGTTAAAATGGAAGATGAGACTGAACAGCAAATTTTGATATGATGTGGAGTGATTCTGGATGGCTTTCCCCATTCAACGACCCTCAAGGCTTTGAATCTGCGGTTTGAATCAGAAGTATTGCAGAAATAGGTGGCAGCATCTGGAGGCTTCTGTCGACCCAACAATAAATCTTAATTCATATATCAGCCCTAGTTTATTAAATACTATGGGTTAATAATATAAGTAGTTCTTTAACAATACATGGATAAAAATTTTATTTGGGAAATTAGATGATCAGAAAAAATTGGTAGTGAGAACATTCACATTCAGGAAATGTGTCAGAGCTTCCTATGAGCAAAACCAGAGAAGCTCATTCACAAATGAGCTTTTTAACATTTAGGTCATGTAAGAGTGAGACAGTTTTGTGTTATCAGTAGATTCACTCATCCACCTTATATAGACTAATATAATTTAGTATTGATAATATCTTATTATATATATTAAGCTGATTTTATATCAGAGATAAAATAATAAAAGAAGAATTATGCTTTGCAGCAGTATTTCTTCACTATTGCATCAGTGCTCAGGCTGTGGTTTCCATCTGCAGACTCTCCCAAGCCCCTCTTTAAACTTTAGGTAAAATTTGTAAATAATAGTTTAACTACCTAATAATGATATGTTGGGTAAAATGTACATTTTGAATTAAAACTTCTGTTCTGTCCTTTCAATTTGTTTTTCTCCCTCTGTTATTATTGTCATAATTATTGTTAATGCATTTCATATTATGGAAGATATGAATTCTTAATGTACTATCGGTATTGCATTATTCATTATATGCTTATTGTATCATGTATTTAAGATTTTAAGTAAAAACTAAGAAGTCTGTTACACTGAGAGGTTTTTATCAGAGGCTGGCTCCTGGAATTCTCTTTGGGAGGATCTCATGCCTGAGAACTGACATATAGTTTCTAGTGTCAAAGGAGACAGACTTTGTTCGATTAGGAGTCAGCTTCTATTAATGCAAATCTCTAAAATAAGTCTGGGGATCTAGGGATGTCTATTTTTCTTCCTGTTGACTATAAAGAAGCCCAGAATGAGTAGCTCAGATGTAGATTAAGAGCTATGTGTGTTCGGTTACATGAACTCCATTTCAAGTGATGAAAATTTACCACTGTCTGTAATCTGATGGTCTTCTCAGAAGGGATGAACTCTACTCCACATCTTCAGGAGCAGTTCCAGTAGAGTGGAAAAGGAATCAATAGGACACTTTGTGCACTGCAAGATTTTGCAGTTCTACCAATCTGAAAAGGTACCATAATTTCCAGAGTGACATTGCTTGCCTTGAGAAATTGTAAATTCTGAGACAATCATGATAACATTTTTAAGCAGGAACTTCCTAAAGGGGTGCAATCTTCACCAAAGGTAAGGCATATGAAAAGAACCACTCACTCTGCATAGCCTGTATAACCAGAAAACTCTCCGAAGCTTGAGAACAGGTGGTTAAACAAGACAACACTTTTGTCTATAATGCTATGTAATAACAACACTTGTGAGCATGGTATGTTCTGCCTCCCATTCATTTACTGTGTACACAATAGCTTCCTGCTCCTCTTGTCCGTGTGTCCACGGGTAAGCCCATCAAGCAAACACGAGAGAAAATGTAGGCTTCTGAGAGATGTGCAGGGTATGTGCTGCTAAGTTCACACTGACAGGCTGGTCTGCATGACTCACAAGTTCAGTCTTGACAGTTTGCCCTCAAGCCACTGATTTGCCCTCAACACATCATGTAGACATACTTGGTCGTGGTCTGGAAATGAACGCCTGTTGGAAATGTTATGCCTTGGCAGGGTTCCCACTGCAGAGAGAAAATCCCTATCCTTTTTAGGAGCTGTGTAAGAATAAATGATCGTGATTCAGAGTTTTAGATCTAAATCAGACCTAAACTTAAAGGAGAATAATAGCAAATTTACAGCTTCGTCTCTTCTGTACCTTTAAGAATATTTAGCAGTGTGACTTGCATCATGCTATATATTTGAGAGTCAGCAACACGAATGTGTTTGAAAGCTCATTCAGAAGACACAGGCTGGTTTAATGTCCAACACGGTCCTCGTTCATTCAATCCAGTGGGGCAGCACTGTCAGAATAGCATTTCTGTTACTGGTAAGAACAGGCAAGCGCTTGTTATTTTCTGTTTCTCTTTTTTTCCTTTTTTGGTTTTTTTTTGGGAGGAGGGTGGGTGGGTGGTGGTGTTACTCTTTAATTTAGTGTATGAAAAGAGCCTGGACGAAATTTTCTGGATTGCTGTTGATGCAGAGTGGAATTGAGAGCTAGGTATAGCCTTGTGACTTTAACCAGCAGTTGTCATTGAAGCAGAGAGCTTCCTAATTCATTCTTCATCATCCTATAGATGTTTTTGTTTGACCTAATTATGTGTGACTGCAGGTGTCAGTCTTTCTTAATGTACTTGAATTGTGTGCTAGGAAAAACATTACAAGAGCTTTGAACATAAGGTGTTCCAGACAGGCAATCTATAGAGACTTTTATTTGCTGGCTCTGTATATCACTGGTGGTTTAAAAACTATACGAAGAAAAGTATTATTTCTTTTAAAAATCAAACTTGGTTATTTCTGTGTAAGCTTGGTGCTATAAGGCCTGAAGCAGAAGATAGGGACGCTCTGTTAGTATCCGTTGTGTAGCAAGGTAGTAAAATGGAAGAAATCATTAAGCAGACAGACCATAGCAAATTTACATGGCAGCTATTGTGTAATGTTGGATGAGTTTTCTAGTAAAAAAAGCCATACTGTAAAGCTGGAGTAAATATAGAGTGTCTGTATTAGTGAGAACGTAAGGATACACATTGATATGGGGGATGAGCTATCATCCAGATTAAAGATGCAGCTTGCAACATGGGAAGGAAGAAGATAGGACAGTGCTCTACCCAGCATCCTATAATGGGATAAATGGTGAGATCACCCTCAGCTCCACTTGTGCCAAAATATTTTGCATGGATGGTAGGAGGGCAGTATCCAGCTTTTCTATTAGTCACTGGAGAGATGAGGACTCAGATGGCATTGTAGATATCTAAAGTGGAGTCAGAAGAATTCCCCCTTTCTTGTTGAACAGTCCCCCATTGCTCTTTCTCTCTCTAATACACTCCCCCTTCTTTCATGATTGAACTCATTAATTTAATTAATCATTTGATAGTGAGAAAGTACCACTCTCAGACAGCTTGCTTTTCTATATTTCTTGGGGCAATGAGGAAAATTGTACATGTCTATAAAGACACCTAAAAGTTTACTGTGGTCATTTCTACTGAAGCAAAATTTGGGAACCCTTAGCAAACATTTTCTTAAGGGTTAAGACAAAGTACATGTGCAAAAGTTTCATGTAGTTTATTTCCTTGTATTCATTTACTATGCATTTTATTCTTCTGTAGACGATAGCAAACAAAATCTTCCACCCATGCACATCCTTTCTCTTAAACAATGTGAGACTGAGTTTGCTTATATTCAGCCTCTGTCAGTGGTTGCAGCCAATCCTCACCAAATGGAACAGCAGATACTCTGCCTCTTGGGTAGCTTTTGTATGCTGTTTTGTTGTTTATGATTCACATACCATGCTGGGGTGGACCCCTGTTCTATTTGTAACTGCAAGCAAAATTCTGCTGTTAAATTCTGCTGATCCCTCAGCACTTTGGTAGCTGTGTTCACAAACAGGCAATCAAAACTGACGGCGATGTATACAAACCAGCCCTTCCCAGCAGATATATGGATAACATACATGGAACACCAGGATCCTTTTGTGTCTTGTTTTTATAATAGGACATGCAGATGGTAAGGGTGCCTTCTGCGTTCAGCATTACCTTTTCAGAAGTCAGCTACAGATTGTTTCCAGCTTATAGCTTCCCTTAATATCACCACCCCTATGGCAACAAATGAGGAACCCGGTGTTCTAGGTGTGCTATGCGTAATGCCTTCTAGCAAGGAGTTAGTTTGGATTCACTGCTGGCGGTTTTGACTGTGTATCTGTGAGGGTCCTCACCTGCCACTGCTGAAGGGAACTAATGAAATGCAGCACAGGTCAGTGACAGTGACAGGCAGGCACTTCAGCTGGAGCACAGCTTTTGTTTTGGTATTCTCACTCACCGGGATCACTCTCCTGTCTTTGGAACAAGAAAGATTTGTTGCCATGTCAGTTACGTTTTTCGGAAGATATCAGTGCCCTTTTGCAGCTCTGTCACACAACTACCACTGTGAAATATTTTTGTTGCTGGGGTATCTCAACTATAACACTGTTTGTACTGTTTAGCACCCACACCCCAACTATTCCTTTTCTTGCTTCTCTACAGCATGGCTAACTGGGCAAACCTATTTTCCTAGACCACCACTACAAAGACTTTCCTACTATTCAGCAGAATTAGCTCTAATATCTACCTATGGAGAAGAATCTCGTGGCAGACTAATCTTATTCTGCTCCTAAAAAGTTAATACATACACTGCTGTAAATACAATTTTACCTAACTATGCTCCTTGCCACCATCTAGTGGGTGGCTGGGCATTTTGTTTATCCCTTTAAATTAGTGGGTTATCTTTTGGGAGAAGCCACGGAAACACTTTGCATATGTGCCATACCTAAATGTACTAGTCAAAAATAGCTTCACTGCTAGCTGGTTCAATAATGTATATCTCTGTTACGTGCTTTTATTGTAAGTATACTGCTAAAAGTCAAATATGACATGACTCTCTATGTAGTTCATCAAAGCTGTCTTTGAAAACCTCCGCCCACTGAAAGCCCATAGGAATGTATACACTGTTTTTAGATGGAGCAGGACTTGCCTCAACTTTGCCTTTTATAACAAAACATATTGCGTACATAAACATGAGTATGTGTATGTATATACAAAGAGAGACCAAGTCATCATGCTTACTTCTGATCTCAGTTAGTCAAAACAATTCTCTGGCTTTTCATATGTTTGCGCATAAGTTCTCCTACAGCCCTTCTCGACTTCTACTACATTCAAAGCTTAACAAGACAGAAGAAAAAATGGATGCAGCCTTAAGAATACACTTACTGTGCAAGTAAGTGTTTTGCTCTGCTGTCCAGCCACTATCCTGTTCTCCTGTTACACCAACAAGCACTCTCTGTACTGAGTTCTGAGAGCCACAAAACCTCCACCCTCTTGCAATGAAGCAGCTTAAAATCTCTAATGTCAAAATGCCAAAGTCACAAAACCTGCAGTGTACTCCATGAATACAACGGAAAAGAACAGAAGTATGGCCAATGCTCAAAAATAACAATGAAGTTATCAGGAGATGGTTAAAAAGCTGCTCTTACTCCCCTCCAATCAAGTTTGGAGAGAAGATGCTTTAAGCAGTCATTACCGTCACTCATATATATAGAGAGATATAAAAATGTATATGTGTACATATGCGTGTGCACGTCTATGTATAAATGTCACACTCATAAATACATTTACATACACTTCAGCTGCTGTCACCTACTTTACCTATTTGGTACCTTGTTCTGCTCTAAATTACACACCTGATGTACTTACTGTCCCCCTCTGATAAGCTATGCCTCCTCCCTTTCTTCTCAGCTTTGTGAAAGTGCTACAGGTAGGGATACATTAATATAGCTCTATACCAATAACACAGCTCATAGCTGATTTTTTTTCAGCCTTATTTTTATGTATATAATCTTTGCTGAGTTGGGATTTTGCTCAACTAGCACAGGGCTGAACTCAGAACAATAAATCCAATGCAAAAAATAGCAAGGTGAATTCAGAAACAGGAACATTGTTTTCATGATCCGTTGCTTTTCTTTCCTCTAGTCCTGAAAAATAAAATCCAAGAGGTGTTTTCATAGAACCCTTCCAGCAATAAGCTTATGGAAAAAAAAAAAAAAAGGGTAATTGTCACCCTGCTGTATGGCACACTCAAATCAGAGCCATAATTAAGTTTAGGAGATACAAGAATGATGATAAATCTGCATTTAAATGGCATTTTAAAATACTACTTAAATCTCCCAAATTTGAGTGTGGATTCCTTATCCACCCTTATTCATACTGATAAGGATTTCTTCAAGTATTCCAATTGACCTTGATAGTCTTTCTCCAGTAAGTACACACCATCACCAGCTTAAGTGGCCCTTGGGGACCTCCTATGAGAACACTTTTCTTGCTGAGATATTACTTAATTATTACTAGCAACACACACTGTCAAACAATACTGAAGGGATTCACAGTGATTAGGTTTTTGCATGTTTAAAAAAGAATAATCTATAATTCACTACAGTTTTTAGCAGGCAAAGCAAGGTCTTCTACTTCCAAAACCTGAGATCATCAGCAATGAAAGATGAAGCTCACGCACACATCTAAAGCAGGCAATTTGGATGCTCTAGATCTCCCTTGAACCAACACTTGTGTGATGTGACAGCAAAGCACCCTTGGGAAGAGCCTAGAATGCCTAAATGATCCATACATTTGCCTACAAGATCTAGATTTACCTGTAGAAAGCAGCTCCTCAAATTAGTTGTTTTTGTAACAAACTGTTGCTGTTGCATCTGTGTTTAAAGATTTAGAAAATAACTGGGAAAAATTTTATGCGTTTGTTTTAAATTGTTTTCTTTGTTGCTTGTAGGAGAAATAGGTAGAGGAACTAGTCAAGTACAATTTACATGGTAGTTTGTTTATTTAGATTGTTAAATTATCTAAGCCAAAGGTTAAAAAATTTTAGTTTGGGGGAAGAAGATGACAATTGCGTCTTGATAATTCCACTAATTCTATAAAATAAAATATTTTGTGATAAATAGAACAATAACCAAATGGTTAGCACACTGGACTTACTCCAGGTCAGCCTGTCTTCACTGAAATTTTTATCATGAAAATTAGAGATAGGTTGGTGGAAATATTAAATTTTGCCAAATGAAGCATGTCCACCCAAGCTCTTAGTCCTGGTTTTCTATCACATTGAAGGTAAGAGCTGGCTCCTTCAAGAAATGGGTGCACAAAAAACAACTTATCTAGCATCGGCATATTTTGGCTGAGGGCTGTTACCTTGTTCCAAAATAAGCTATCCCACAATTTCAATATAGTGAGGAAACAACAAAAAGAAGGAGTGATATTATAACTATCACTCGTATAATGCCATAGATGTGACAAC